CCATGCCTTACCACCCTTTACCCACACACTGACACTTTTCTTGCACACTAAAGCCAAAAGGCACAGAAACGGCACACACAGCAACCAAAATTGATGCAAACAGTATCGAATAGAAAAAACCTTGTTTGTCTGTGAGTTGATTTTCAATTATTATTGAACTCAAATGGGTTCCAAAAGCAGCTCAATTCTGGGCACCGAAAACGGGCCCTAGATTTTGGATTTCCTGTGCGAACATACAAGGCCACCCAGGTTGGAGCCTCAAATTGGAACCCAAGTTTAGGAGCCATTTTTGGGCCCAGTTGTGGCGTTTTTTTCACACAGGAAAGCCAGATCTGGCTTTCACAGCTCCTCGTTGCGAGTAAAACAAATCAGCCTCTCAGTCGGTTCCAGTCAAGTCCTGTGTCAGTCTTCCCCCAAAATTAGAACAGCAGGCAGCAAGGCGGCAAAGTGTGAACTTGTTTGGAACCGGAACTTTCTCTAACTGTGGAGGTCACTGGAGCTTCCCCACCTTTTCGATCAACTTTGCTGCCCCTCATCTTGGGTTTCAGATTCTCCAGGTTTTGGTGCAAGGCCTGAAGGCAGAAGAGGATAAAAGAAGGGTGCAGAGTCAACATCGGTGGAAACAGCTTGGAAAAGTTCAATGCTTTGAAACAAGTGTTTTTAAAAGCCTCTGACAGTGCCGTTTGGACAGAAATCAACTGCGGGACGAGACGAGTTCAACCCTGGTGTTGATTCGTTAAGGTTGCGCGCGACGCCCAAGCCAAACCACCTGAAAATTGCAAAGTGTATTTCCAGAATGTGAATAAGTGCGAGCGAAGCGAGCGAAACACCAGAGTAAATTCAACAAATTTAACTGATCAAGTGTTGATTTTTGAGGGTTTTTTCAACATTTTCGAGACTTTAGAAATTTTGAAAATTCGTTGAATGGTGCTGAATCCAGGGAAGAATTGCAACACGCAACCAAAAACGAAAGACAAAGAATCAAGGGCACCCCAGCCTAAAAAGAAAGCAGAGTTTCTTCTGCTCAATCTTCTGTCAAATTTCAGTGTGCCTTGAATTTCTGTTTGGCCATTTTGGAAAATTAAAGACAAGAGCACGCAATCGAAGCTTTGTCAAAAAAAGTCGAATGGGAATGGAAATCGAGGCCGGGCGACTCTCAAGTCGTTCTGGCCATGATGAGAGGTCAGTGTAATTGTTTTTTTTTGTAATTGGTTTTTTTTTAATTTTTGCAAGAACTGCAAAAACCTTGTTTTTTCTTGGTCCGTCTGCAAAAAGAATTTTCTCTTGCTTTTGTTTAATGTTTTCTTGACTTTTTGTCGGCTTAAGAAAGAAAATTTCGAGAAACCGCTTTAAACTAAAACACAAACAGTCAGCAAGTGTTTCGGTAAGTGCCCGGCAAGCTGTCGATTGAGCAGAAAGACGGTGAAAAAATGCAATCGGAACTAAAAGACATCATAAGAATGTGCACTTTGTCGTTTTGGCTTTTTTCCAAGTGTGCATGTGCAAGAGTGTTGTGGATGTGTGTGTGTGTGTATGTGAATTTGTTGCAACAAAGTGGGTTGGTTTGCGGGTGCATGTCTTTTTTTCTGTGCTTCATTTTTTGGTGCTGTTGGGTTGTAGTCTCTGTGCTTAAATTTTTCGGTTGCTGTTTGGTTGCTGTAAGTTGCTGCCTTCATTTTGGTCGCTGTGTTGGTGCCTTTCTGTGCCTTTATTTTTGGTTGTGTTTTGCATTTTTCTGTGTCTTCATTTTTGTTCGCTGTGTGGTTCCTTTTCTGCACCTTCTTTTGGTCGCTGTGTGGTGCCTTTCTGTGCCTTCATTTTTGGTTGCTGTGTGTGCCGTTTCTGTGCCTTTTGGCTTTAGTGTGCAAGAAAAGTGTCAGTGTGTGGGTAAAGGGTGGTAAGGCATGGAGTCGCAGAATGACACCCAAAAAAAACAGTGACCTTGCAGTCTTGCAGTGGTGTCTGTGTGTGTGTGTGTGTTCACATCGTTTTCTTGAATGGGTGTGTGGTGTTGTGGTTTCGGCGTTTTGGCAGAGAGTTGTGTGTGTCATGGTGTGTGTTGTTATGTGGGTGCAAAGTGGCTTCAGTGGGTGGTGTGCGTTTGCGTGTCTGTCGGCTGGGTTCTGCTGGTGAAAGGTCTGTGGATTTGGAGACACAAAAAGAGGGCAAGGAATCAACTCCAAAAAGTAGGGAAGTCGAAGTGACCTCCACAGTATCCCGCGAGGAAAGAAGCAAGAAAGTAAACTCGCGGGTGTTTCGTTCACATCTTAATTGTATTCATGCATCGTTCACCTATTCACTCCTTACAATACAATCACTATGCTCTCAATGTTAAGATAGGTGTAATTAAGACAAGGGAGATGTGAACCATAAGGACCAAGCGTCTCAAAGGTTTGGATGGTTCACTCACTGGTTGGTTTTTCAGAGTCTTTTAGTGGGGCTTCTACAGGAACTAACTGGTCTAAAGGGATGCAGCGTCTGGATGATTGTTGTGTCCGTGAGTTTAGAGAAGAAGAGAACGAAGAGTGAACACTGCAATTACAATGTCATACGCCCAATTATCCTTGTAATTTAACATTTTTTTTTAATGGAGTTTTCTTCCCATAGAATCAAAATATCCCAATCACCAGTGAACACCAGGATTGTAGTATAGGTTTTCTAGCGGTTACAGAAAGAGAACTAATGTCCCAATTTTGAAAAGTGAAGAGAATTTTGACATTAGATGTTGCAGGATTGGCACGAGGGATGATACACATGTAGCGGAGTCGTGTCTTCCCCGGTTTGGGTTTTGTACATTTAAAACGGCTCACCTCGACTCCGCTGCCGTTCTAAGAGGAATGCCACTTTGGAAGGACTCCGCCGACTCCGCTTACATGAACTCCACCGACTCCGCCCACACATGGAACTCGGATGCTTTTTTTTCAGTGCTTTTTGCTTGGCACGCAGTGCGAAGATGGCAAAGAAGCTTCTGCGGCGCTGAACTTGGCGTCGGAACTTATGTCAAGAATTGAAACGTACCCGGACCTTCCAGGTTGCCAGTTGGCTGAGAGAAGATTGCTGACGGCTGCAGAAATCGTAAGGGTTTTGCGCAATCAGCCGCCGGTCAGTGATGTAGCGCGTCGAAACTTGTGAGTTTAACTTCGCAGATGGTGTGTCCCAAAATCTCAACCTGCTGGGTCCGGAGACAGGGTCGTCAGGCGGCATCCTGGAAGGCATGTGGCGGCCCCATTTTTGGGACCGCCTGAAGTCACTTCTCTTTTGCAGACGGTCCCAAAAGTGGGGCCGCTCAGATTCAGCTCTGGGTCAAAATTTAGCCCCAGAAGTGGGGCCCAGATTTCCCATACAGGGCAGATGGGACGCTGAGTCCTCGTGTCGTTCCTACTTCCTCTCATTTTCCTTTGAGCGTTTGTCCGGCGTGACCGTCGGTTCACGTCTGGCGCGGCGTCGGCTGACGATTAACGGCTTGACCGTGAACCTAGGAGGACTGCGCTGGATGTCTCAAAAAATGTGTCAGTTTGGAGTGCATAAAATGGGCCAGGTGGATTTGTGAGATTTCTTCAGGTCACTTGCAGTGAACACGGAGAGCAACTTTTGCGCAGCTTTGCAGTTCTCAAATTGTGATTCAGGAAGCAAGATTACCCCCCACCCCATGGAATCTCAGCATAGATGTTGCAGGATTGGTGCACGAGGGACACATGTAGCGGAGTCGTGTCTTCCCCGGAAAAAAACCATTGTATGAAAAAAGCGGGCTCACCTCGACTCCGCTGCCGTTCTAAGGGGAATGCCACTTTGGAAGGACTCCGCCGACTCCGCTTACATGAACTCCACCGACTCTGCCCACACATGGAACTCGGATGCTTTTTTTCAGTGCTTTTTGCTTGGCACGCAGTGCGAAGTTGGCAAAGAAGCTCCTGCGGCGCTGAACTTGGCGTCGGAACTTATGTCAAGAATTGAGACGTCCGGCCCGGACCTCCCAGGTAGTAGGACTAGCGGTAGTAGTAGTAGTGGTAGTAGTAGCAATAACAATAGCAGTAAAAGTAATAAGAGTAGTTGTTGTAGTAGTAATAGTAGTAGTACTAGTAGTAGTCGTAGTAGTAGTAGAAGTAGTAGTAGTAGTAAGAATAGTTGTAATCATAATAGTAGTAGTAATAATAACAGTAATAGAAATAATAGAACCATGCGTCTTTGGCAAGTTCCAGCGTCGCAGTGTGGGCCCATGAACTCCGTGCAGTTTGGGCCTTGTTGCAAGGATGGAAGGTCCAAGGTAAGGTTTACGCTGACTTTGGCAAGTGCGCATCGGAGGTCCAGCAAATCTGTAGGCTCTACAACCATGGGTGGAAAGAAGAAAGACAAGAGCAAAAAAAGAGCTCAAAGGCTGGTTTGTTGCATGAGGCACGGCAACTTTTGGTGCAACGGAACTGTGCGCGGAGAGTTTGCGTGCTAGGAATTGTTCCCACAGACAAGCTACTTGCAAGCTTGGTGCTTCGAGCAGTCTTTTTAATGCAGCCGCCACGTCTCGACCAGTCCCGTGTGTCCAAAGACGTCTTCGGGCCAGAGCCACAGTGAAGAATGGGTAATATTTGTCGGTCTGATTTGGTGTCTTTTGTTTTTGGCGGGTGCGGCATGTCGCGCGGCAAGTGACATGCCGCCTCTTGTATGCGTAGCATGTCGTGCGGGTTTAGGTTGTCAGGTGCTTAATGTTTTGCTTTTTTCTAAAATTCTCTTGAATGAATCCTTCAATTTGTCTTGTTTGCCTGTGTCACGTTTATTTTATCAGTGCTCTGCAATGTCAAACTGTATTTTTTTAAAATTGAAAAATCTGTAACTGTCCTTCACTGGCTGAAGGGGGCGAGGGACGAGGTTCCAACTGTCGCCCTGGTCCGATCAGCCTGGACGAGTTGAGACAGCGCAGGTCTTCCATTCCGAGTTTGAGTCTTTGCATCTGGCCCACACGGCTGTGCGACACAAGCCCCCAAAGCCAGAGTTTGCGAAAACCTTCAATGTCAAAGTTTGGAACGGTGCCACGTGGGTTATGCAAGAGCGTGTGGGTGGCACTTAGAAGCTGGACGGCTTTTTCGCCAGCTTCAGACGTAAAGTTGGCCGCAAGCCTTCAACACGTCAGGTCCACATTGGAAAGCGCGGACAAGATGGAGCAGCATTTGCACGAGCGCATGAGGTGCTTCCAGTTGGCTTTTTGGCTGTCAGGCAATGGCCTGTTTCAAGTCTTTGGAGCCCTTCGTGCTGCGGAACTTGCTGCAGGTGCATCGTGGGAAACTTTAAAGGAGTTTCTCCCAGATCGCGCTGCTTCATCTGAGGACCGTGCAGACGAGGAAAGAATGCCATGCTACAACATTGACAGCGAGTCGGAGGCCATGAGTGCCCTTTTCGAAGAAGACGACTGACAAAGTCCAAACGTCATCCTCAATATTTCGCAAGCGTTTTAAACCTGTCAATAGCAGTACGCTTTGCAAAGACTACCTCGCAGTCCTTGCCATGCAAAACGGTCCCTTTGCGTTATAAATGTGTCAGGTTGCCGGGCCAGGTTTTCAAGGGTGTGAGGCTGCGGGTTGTTGTTTTGGGGTCTTGGGACACAGCTCTTTGGCCAGGGTTCAGGCGGCCTTGTAGGGCATTCTTTGCACGCTACCCTTTATATGCGCGGCGCCGCGCACGTTGGCGCCATACTTCCTGCGTCGCCTTCTTATTATGCGCGGCGCCACGCGCGGCTGCTGATTTTCCTTCTGCCGCGCACGGCGCCGCGCCCTTCGGCCGCGGCGCAACTCTTTCTTTTTGTCAATTTTTAACCGCGCGCCACGCCGCGCCCGGCTTTTTTTTTAAAGCGATGCCTCTTCACTAAACGTTGTGCTTGCTTGTTTTGCCGTGAAGTGCAGCGGCCAAGTTTTCTCTTGAGGAATGTTTGAACATGCCTTACCAGCTGCCATGAAGGTGGCTGGAAGTGCCAGACACGTCTAACGGGTGGATCCATGAACGTTGCATAGGTGATCGAGTAAGATGCGCAAGCATGCTCTGCATGATTGTTGCAGTTTGATTGCCTACATAATTTGCGGCCAGTCAGCTGCGGTGAAGGGAGCCGTGGCTGAAGACTCTTATGCCAGAGTCTTGAAGAGCAGAATCAAACAAGCGGATCTCATTGCCAAGCCCTTGAAGGATCGAGTGGTTGTTATGTTGGAAGCCCTCTCTCAGTCCGAAGCAGGTTTTTACAGCAGCGAAAACTGACTTTGTTGGCAAAGCTAGGCAACTCCAAGATGAGATTGAGGCAGCAGTTTGTGTCGAAGGCACTTTTGGCGAGTATTGCAAATATTCACAGGTTGTGGAGGCCGTATTCCAAAGTCAAAGCAATTGCGGGTTTTTCGTGTGTGCCTAAGAAAGCCCTTGCACGGACCCACCTTGAGAAGCCGGGCCTCCGGCGGGTGATGTTTGGAGCTTCTGCCTCAGCATCTTCGTGAATCTTCGTCGGTATTTGATTGGGTATGTCCTTGCTACATGCGCTTGCCTATGGGGTGCAGTCACTCCGTTCATTTTCTGATGAGTATAAACCTGCGTATTAGGACTTTGTCTTCAAGCCGTCTTCTGTCGCGTATCCCTGCCTAGGTCAGTTTGCCGCGGAGGCTACGACACCGAGTAGAGGCTTTCTGACATTTATTTTGGATGTTCGGATTCTGAATGGTGGGAGCGCTTTGGCTCGCGAGGTTCCTCTCGGGCTGAAGCAGGTTTTTCGGTTGAGAAGTGGTGGCAGGCCATACGCAAGGCCCGTCGTGCTTCGCACCGAGTGTTTGTGATTATGCACTGTTCGGAGGGAAGCGTTGCTTGGGAGATATCCATTTCTTTGTCGAGAGCCTTGCCAACCCACCTTGCTCCACAGTATCTAGGGACAGGCACGTCAGCAACAGTTTAGAAGTCTGTTTGAAACGTGCCAGATACCCCATGTTCAGTCATGCGAAGACATGCGTTGGATGCATAAATGGCTCAAGAATAACAAGAGTGTGAGCGCGAGGGGTCCCTTTTGTCTCGGGTTCCCCTTGAAGTCTCGAGGAACTTGACATACAGCTGAGCAGCAACTTGGCATTTGCAGCAACAGCAGACAGCTTGCACATTCAGACATACTTGCAACTTCATTGCATCAAGGAGCATCAAGAAGACCTTGTCGTTGCTGTATTTGTGTGCTGGCAGAAGCTGGCTGTTTTTGGCAAGAGTTTTAGAGACGACATTTGGGATTTGTTTGGAAAGAAGGTTGCAGCAGCAGCAGCAGCACCAACAGCTGCAGCAGCAACATTTACTGCACGTGGGCATTGGCATTTCCATTTAACATCTCATTATCTCGACTCCATCATACAAACTCCAGGTGGGACAAGACACGAAGGGTTGGGTTGCGGGTCGAACCGGAGGGAACCGGAGGGGCGAAAAGAGGGATCCGATAGAATCCCTTGTTTGGGTAGGTTGTCTTTCTCTCTTGCTTGACGTGGGAGGTCACGTGTTGCGAACGAGGGGCTCGTCTTTGCTGCGTCGCTTTTGGTAAGTACTTTTGGTAAGTGGTGGTTTGCGGTGATTGTCGCGTGGCAGTGCGAAGTGGCCGGACAATGAGGCATGTTTATGCTTGAAGCTGTGTGGCTGAAGCACAGTGATCTTTGTTTGGCCGGTGTGTAGACCGGGAGCAGAGTGTGGGAGCCGCCCTGATTTTCGATCTCCCGCCCGCCCTTGCCCGATCGGAAATCTGGGCAGGGGCCACCGTTTGTCAGCGACAGGCTGATGGGGGGATACATTTCTGTCAGCGTGCGGCTGATGCATCGTTTGTCAGCTCTTAAGCTGATGTTACATGTTGGCTAAGCAGGGCTTTTAGCCATGCGGTCAGTGTAGATTCTGGCTGTTTCTACCACCACCTTTCAAAAAGAGAGAGAGCGTTGCGTGCAGTGGTCTTGTGCGGGGCTAAGGGTGTCTGTTGTGTTCAGGGTCCGGATTCGGTAGGATCCCAACCTTAATCCCATCCTACTTGCTTGTCATCTGTTGTAGCTCAACACCCTACTGTTCAGGGCTTCAGGGCACCGGCCCCAGCGTAGGACCCTGTGTGGGATTGGTTGTGTGGTTTCCTCTGTTCCTTATTAGGTTCAGGGTAGGCAAGAGGCTTCGTCAGGACTTGAAAGGCCTCGGGGGCCATGAACATAGATGAGGAGGGACTCCCATCTCCTTCGACCCCTAGAATAAGAGCCATCACATATCCCGATCATTTCAGTCCTGTGACCGACACCACAGGAAGTCCAGAGCCACTCCACATACCAGCACATCCTACGACACCAGCAGCACTCACACCCTTCCCGGGTCATAACCAACAGGTTATGAGCCCAAGGGGCACCACTGCAGCATGGACACCGCCTCCAGTAGTTCATCCTTTTGCAGCTTCTGCTTCAGGTACAACTACTCCGTTTGCAGGTGCAACCTTCACGCAAGCAACTCGGATTGAGGTCCCGGTACACGTGTTGGAACAATTTGCGCAGCAGAATACGATTGACAATGAGATCCTTGGAGATTTACGGGCGGCCGTGGTAGAACTACATGACCGCATGCAACACCGCACAAACATCCTTGGAACAACAACTACCTCGTTGGCCGACGGCTACAACCTTGTGGTAGAAAATTTAGGGCGTCTGCAGCAGGGCCTTGATGCACACAGTGAAGTCATCACTCGTCTTGTGCAGGACAACCGAGGAATTCATGATGAGCTTGAAGCCACGCGCGCCCAGTTGGAAGAGGTTCGGACAATGGCTCAGACCCCTCGATTGGGACCAGAACAATGGCAGGCTCAGGTGGAAGCACACATCTTGAAACTTCAGAATGAGTTCGACATGCGAATGAAGCAGGTCGATGATGATCATCATAGCACCAAATCCCGTGTTCGAAATCTTGAGGACAGGGCTGTGAGTAGGACGGAAGTTCCAGATGCTCACATGGTACAGGAACAGGTGGACGAGACCTTTTCTGCGGTGCAGCACCTCAGAAGTGTCGTCGAGGCTAAGCACCTGGAGTTAGACCATGGCTTGGCAGAGGCGAGGGAATCGATTCAGGACCTGTCCAACACTCAGCGGAAGGTTGAGAAGAGTCTTGATCACCTTCAGGCACTTTGTGAGCAGTTTGCCATGAACTCTGATGGTGAGGAACAAGCAGATGAACAGTATCTTGATTGATGCCTATGAAGGTTCGTGGTGGGGCAATCAGGCGGGACTACAAGGTCAGGAGGAGCCCGAACGACCTCCAGGCCTGACATCTTCCTCAGCACCCTCTTCGAGCCAACAGGCATTGAAGCCTCTGGATGAGCCCATTGGAGGGCCATCTGGACAGAATCCTGCTCCAGCTGAGGGCAGGGACACCAGTCAGGAACAGGGCAATGCAATTCATCATGCTCGATGGAAACTCCTGGCTGATGTTCCAAGTTTACAGGTTGGTTCAGGGGAACCGTGGGAAGTCGGAATGAGATTTCGCACGTGGTTGAAACAGCTTGACACAGTCGCTGGCACCATAGCACCCGCTTTTGGTACTTTCGTGGCAGCGCAGGTTCAGTTGGCGGAGCAACGTCATGGCGAGAGGATGGCTGGCTTGGTCACTTTGGGACCGCCGCCGGATGTGGATCCACGAGATTCTGAGTGCGAGAGCAGGCTTATCCTTTTGTTGATCCGTTGTCTTCCTCAGGAATGGAAAACAAGCGTGCTGGAACAACAGGACGAGTCCAAGGGCAGGAGAGCTTTGGATCTCCTAGAGGGAGTCTTCGAAGTCCTGCAGCCCGGCGGGGCTGCAGAGATGCAATCCTTGAATACGTTCGTTCGTACACTTCGGCCTGTTACGACAGCAAAGGATGGACTCAGTGTTCTTAGGCACTGGCGTCTCGCCAGAACCAGGGCCACAGCTCTGGCACTTCCAAAGTTGGCACCGTTTGAAGAACTACAAGCTCTGAGTACGATGGCACAGACTTTGGAGCGGCGTCATGATCGTTTTCGCACCCTCTTGGGCTTGCTTCGGACAGATCCCGACATCATCCGCCCCACAGCAGCTGGAGTTGAAAAGATGGTCACTCTGATAGAGCAGCAGTTGCAGCTGCTCAGCGCTGATGAGCACATCAAGGCGAACAGGCAGCATGAGCCTGATCCTCAAGCTGCGAAGGGCAAAGGCGATGGCAAAGGAAAGGACAAAGGCAAGAGAGGGGGCAAGGAAACGAAGAAGCCATGTGAGTTCATGAAGAAATACGGGAAGTGCAAATTTGGCGACAGATGTCACTACAGCCATGATGGTCTACAAGGACAGGCGCCAAGAACGACACCGAATCCTAAGGCTGCTCCAGTTTCGACGCCAGCTAAGGAGTCTGGTACACAGGAGTGTCTTGCATGGGCCAAGAATGGGAAATGCAAGTTCGGCGACAAGTGTAGATACCAGCACAATGGTGAAGCGAACAAGGCAGCAAATCCGAAGGCGAAGCAAAAACCAAAGGCAAAGGCCAAATCCTCAGCATCAGCGGCAGAGGGAGAGTCCGAACTTGTCGGAGTGAAGCCTACAGCGTCTGCTATCCGTGTTTCTTCCAGTGTTGCTAGAATGGCACGCAGCATGCAGAGTGAGGAGGAGAGCAGCAGTCAGGCATTATCTGGTGAGGAGTTTGAGATTCCCATGCATGCAGAGGCAAGTACTCCCGAGTGGTCAGATGTTGAACAAGGAGTTTTCCTGATGAAGATTCAGATGTCTCTGCAGAAGAAGGGGACCGTAGCCATTTTGGCTCAAGCTGGAGCATCTCCGGCTCACAGCTGGCCTTGACCTAACCCCTAGGTGGGGCCTTCTGCTTTTCTTCGGTCAAGGCCTTCTACGCTCTTAGTGCTTTCTAGAGCCTCCAGGCCCTGTAACCCCGGTGTTTCGTAGCCTGCCTTTTCCTGCCATGGCCTATCGCGCAAACATGCCCATCCGCACAGAGGTTCGCAGTGCCTTTGATGATGGGCGTCACGACTACGTCGGCGCTTGGGAACAGCTGGTCTACTTGCATGAGGGGAGACTGGCCCTCTTTGCACATCCTGCCCGAGATGACCACACTACGCCTACTGCAGAGGCCTCCGCTTCGGGAGCTGCGAGACACACTCCTCTTGGAGCTTTTGATTTGCCTACTACAATGGGTGCGCGCACGGGCCCATCCGAGCCCCATCTGGGAGTTACGAGATCCACTCTTGGAGCCTCCAGCTCGACTACTACATTGGACGAGCCTATGGGCCCCGCCGAACACTTTGTTGAAGCTAAGCGTCTTACTCCTCTTGGAGCCTCAGACTCGCCTTCTGCGCCTGATGACTTCATGCCTTCAACAGAGACGTTGCCACCTTCGCCCCAGCCGGGTGCAGCCAGGTCGGCCGACACGCCCAACGAGCCTCATGACCTGCAATACATAAGGTCCTTGCTTGTATACATGCACAACCACCTGGCCTGCCAAGATGCCTTGAGCCGCACCCTTCTGCAAACAGCAGAATCCAGGCGCTTAGAGTTGCATGCAGTTTCCGCCCAATTGCAGGAAACACGTGCCAGCCTGGCCCTTGCTCAACAGGCCTACACCGATCTCAGGCACGAACTCGATAGCACCTCTGCCGATTTTTTGGCCTATCGCATTCGCACAGAAGCAGAACTGGCTTATCTTAGAGAAGCCTTGAGGCCCATGCCCTCCCAAACCAATACCCTCAAGCGCATTGCCATCCTGCCCGACAATGCACATCTTCAGGCCCTACGTACCTTCCAGGTCCCAGCAAACAGGTGGGAAGAGGCCAATCCCCACGCCCTGCTGCGTAGAGAAATTTTACACCTAGAGGACCGCCTCCTTCGCCTCGTTGCCCCGCTGCCAAGGCCTATTTTCAGATCCAGGCCAGCCTCCCGCATCCTGCCCTGCCTCGGCCACTGAGATAGCCCATCCACCTCGGATGATTGTGCAAGCATCTCAGTTGAGCAGTCCTACGCGACATGCCTCCCCGACGCCTGCCTAGCCCACGCCAGAGCTCAGCCTTTTGCAGCGTAACATACGCAGGCCATAACCCTCCCGCCAGGTGCTCGCGACGACTACCTCAGCATCACCAACAACGAGAACGACCGCGTAGAGGACAACTCTAAGCCCTATTTGGGGAGTGGCGCTCCCGCAGGCCTTCCTTCAGGTGATACCCCTCAAAGCAGACCTGCCAACACCGAGGCTCTAAAGACTGGAGCGTGCACACAGGCCCTGCCTCCTCAGCTTGGGTTTCGGCATTGCCCTCTTGCAACGCCGCCTCGCCGAGTGCCCCTCCGTGCTCCAGCGTTGCCACCCTGCTATGAGCTGCAGGCCCTCGCCTAAAAATCTCTGCGCCTTGAGAAGCAAGCTCTTCCCAATAATCAAAACAGGGAAGTTGCGTAAAATTGCACAAGCCGCAACTAGGTCCAGCACTTGCGCACGCAGCATGTGATGGCAGCCTCCCCCCCCCATGCCCCCCTTGTTTGCTTAACTTATAGGGGTTTGGGATGAAGCGCTGGCACACGCCACCAAAGCCTCAAGGGTGGCCGCGCTTTCTGTGCTGCAGCCTAATAAGGGGGCCCGCCCCTTTTCTTCGCCCGCAGCCTCCAGCCAAGCCAGCCTTCATCACAGTCTGCGGCCTTGAGACGAGGCCTCAAAGGAGGCCAAAGCTGCTACGCTAGCCGCCAGCTTTAGGCCACAGCGTCAAGGGGGGCAAGATCTAGCCTCGAGCCTCAGCCCGAGGCCCACGGGCCAGCCAAACCCTTTGATTTCCGCCTTCGGCCCCAAGCCACTGCTATTCAAGCAACTCAGGCTGTTATCTCGGCCTTCAGCTTCAGGCCGCAGCCCATAGCACCCCTATCACACGCAGCCACAAAGCACGCAGCAACGCCGTTTCTGCCTGCGTCTGCCTACATTTTTCAAGCAGAATCTTTCCCCCAGGGATGGTGCCCATAAGTCAGCCTGACAGCGCCAAGGCTCCCAGACATCGAGCGCGCTGCCTTCAGGGAGAAAATGACACGCAGGCACATCAAAGCACCAGCAATGCTGTTTCTGCCTGCGTTGGCCTTGCTTTCCATGCAAAATCCTGCCCTAGGTATGCTCCTCAACAGCCAGCAGGGCAGGACAAGGACTCCCAGAAATCGAGCGCGCCAGGAAGCTAAGCCTTCTTATTGACCTTGCAGGCACACAGCCTACGATGTATGCCTGGGCGAACTCGCCAATACCCAGCCTCCGCAGCCAAGCCCCCTTCACAGCCCTGAGCCTGAAACGCCTTTGGGGAACTGGCGCCTCCAGCCTAAGGAGTGGCCCCGTTTTAGCTGCACGCGCGATGCCCCCCTTGGCAGTGAGGAAAAGTCTCAAAGCCCTTGAGACATCTGTGCAACGGGCAGGAGCGCAGGAGGGAA